AAGAGTGTATGGCTCCCTTTGCTCCCCCTTGCTTCCTGAAGAGTAAGGAATGAGTGATGTAACGTTTGCTGAGAAGAGATGCCAGCACCAGGCTAAGCATTCCCTGTTTCTGGGTTCATCTGACCCTCAGCACCCCAGGGGCAGATGGCAGAACCCTTTTTATAGATGATGTTTAGAAACTTTCTAAAGGTCATTCAGCTGCTGACTTTGAGGGCGTTTAAGTCTCCTTGAGACTCCCCTAACCCATCAGTCAGCTATGCAGTGTTTATCAAATAGCACACCCCTAGGTCCTGTCTGACCTGTGTCAGGCCCTCCTTTGCTGTGAGGGTCAGGAGTGCCCATTTCCATGGGGTGCTTTTGGAGACATGAAGTGTGCTGAATTCTGTTCCTCTCTGCTGGACATCTCTGCATAAGTTACTTGTCAGTTCTGATTCACTTTCCCTGTTTTCAGGCCAGCGGTAAGGATATTCATCCTGATGCTGGGTGGGAAAGGACCTTGGGAAGACAATGTGCTAAGCAAAGGTTAGGATTGCCGGTGAGGTCCTTGGCACGCTGGACATACAAATTCAGGCTGGAGCGTGTAGACCCACCCCTAAGCCACCCGGGCAGGCTTTGAGAGCTTGCCAGCTGCCAGGAACTTCTGGACCCTGTGGTGCCAGGAAAGTGGCAGGAAGTTCTGAGAGAGTCATTGGTCCTGGCCTAGGTTTCCTGGTTGTCTGAGAAGTACCTGGGCCCAGGTTGTATGAAGTGTAGAGGGCTCTTCAGGATTCTGGGCCTGTTTCCCCTCTCTTTCCATGTGCATCCTAACTAGGTCAATTCAGGCTGGGTTTAGTAAGGAAGAAAGATAGTTTGCCAAGCAGCCACCTAGATCTCTTCCACCCCACCCCCTAAAATATGCAGAAGCCTGGGAAAGAGGTGAGCCTTGCATCCCGGAAGCAGGACACCGCCAGACTCTCCATGGCAAGGTTCCCAGGGAGTCAGCTAGGAATCCCTGCTTTCCCATCAGCTCTCCCCAGCGCCCATCAGCTCAGCGCCTGGCAGGGGCTCTCAGGAAGGCCACAGGGTTCTGCATTGATCTTCCCAGGGCCCCAGAACAGAGGACAGAGCAGAGAACTGATTTGTGGGTGGGGGCAAAGCCTGGCACCGCTTGTTGGATATCTGCGGCCATGCTGCCGTTAGGTGACTGTTCCTTTCACTTCCCAAGTTTCCGCCTTCTGCATGCTGGGATTACATCAGGCTCCCCTGGCACGCCCTGTAGCCTACTCCCACTTCTCAGAGCTCTTCCACTGTCCTGGGACAGCTGCCCTGCTGCAGTTTCACTGCAGGCAACAGAATGGTAACTGAGGGGACAGTTCCAGCCTTTGCAGCCTCAGCAGCAAGGGCCTGGAACCCCCAGTTCCCTGTCTGCTTCATCTGCTTTAGAGACTGCCTGTCACCCCTGAGTACCTCTGTCTGTCTGCTCTGGCTCAATCTGTTGGCTTGTAAGTAGCATAGGCCTTCAGAAGCCCTGTGTAACGACAGAACTTCACTGTAGTACACTGCCACTTGGGTGGGTCATGTGACCGTTTGGTTTCCTCTCCCCAACAGGGGCAAGGGGCTCTGCTGGAATGTGGCACCTTGGTATCGAATGGCAGCCATACAGGAATTCCTGCCCAGAGCCTAGAATGACAGGCTCCCAATGCTGGTTAAGTGTTGTCAGTAACTTTCATGATCATTTCTCTCTATTGTTCTAGCAGCCAAGGCCGGTGCCAAGACCCTCTTTTTCCCAGTGCTGTGCCTCCTCTGAAGCCAGATGACCTGAACCCTTCCTCAGTGCAAGCCATGCCTCCTGGGCATCCCTCCCTGCCAGCATCTGGACCTCCTCTCTAAGCTGGCACTGTTTTGCTGGTCCCCCTCTGGCGTCTCACTCTGTTCACATCCCAGCCTGCTCTGAAGCTGGCCTTCCCAACCCCCAGCTCCTATTGGTTCCTCTCCTATTTTGGTTTGCTTCCCTCTGGCACCCCTTCCATCCGGCTCTTGCTTTTGTCTAACGTTCCTATCCTGAGGCCTTTGGGGAAGCCAGTTTCTCTCAGCTCCTGTAAGCAAAGCTATGTGCCCCCCCCACTCCCCCCAGACACCTTGGGGCAATTGGATGATGGATGATGGACCTGCAAACCAGATTGGGTTCCACGGTGTGGCCTGGCCATGACAGCCTCTACAATGGCTAGAGAATGAAGTGATCCCAATCTGTGGGCACTACAGCATGCCCCTTGAGGCATGAGGTCCAGGCAGAAGTCCCCCTTGGTTATAAAAATGTGAAGGGAAAAGCTCGAAGAACCAAGCAGGCCTGGAAACACCAGCCATGGAGACTTTCCGCTCACCGAGCTTCAGTTTTGGTCAGGCTGTTGATAAAAAACTCAAGCTGAGCTCCTACTGTGTGCTGAACTTCTGTGTGGAACTGGGAGGCAGGAGAGGAAAGTCACCAAATTCCTCCTGGTTCTGTTAGTGGCTGACACATGACGCTGTAGCTCTAACAGCAGCTCCAACACCTACTCCCTGGGGTGTCCTTCCAGGCCCAGTTCAAAGGACTCCAAGCTTGGGGTCACATTGAATGCGGAGCATTGGCAGCTTCTGTGTTGTGCACACATCCCCTTTGCACTCAAGACTGTCCCATGGCACCTAGCAGGAGCACTGAGTGTTCCACAGCTGAGGAGAGAATAGAACCTCAGCTTCCTTGGAATGTCCAGGAAATCTGTTGGAAGTCACATCTCAGCTGCCACTGTCTGTCTGCCCCCTACTTTCAGGGTGCTGATCCTTCTGGATGCCTTTAACTCCCACTGGGGACTTGGTGAGCCAGGAGACAGCCATTCTCTTTTTGGATACCCCATTGCTGAGAAACCGGATCTCCTCCACTTCCAGGAAGCCCAGCTCTGTTCCCCATGTGTCGGCTGGGTTATCATCTGTAGCTGCCTTGTTGCTCAGCTTCCCAGGCCTGTCCTCCTCAGACCCCACACCTCCCTGGCCCTGGCCACGCCTTCCAGGCTCACACAGGATGGTGCCTCTCACCCCGCATGCCCCCTGCCAGCGCTGTTGAGCTGTCCCAGATTGCTCTCCCTGCTGTCTGCCTGCTATACCATGCAGTTTAATAAACAGGCTAATGGAGGCTCTGGGCACCTCAGGAGCCGCCTTCTCTGTTTCTTGGTCCCTTTAGAGAGCCTGCCCCCTCCCTTCCCCAGGTGAGCCCCATTCAGCAGGCTTCTGGGAGCGGTAACTAAGCTGGGCGCCCAGCCCACCACCTGCTCAGTACTTTATAAAAGTTTAACCTTAATGGTGTAATGAACTCCCATCATAAAGCAGCTGGAGCAGTGCATCCTGGGATGTATAAATTATAGGAGCCCTCTGAAGTTGTAATTGGAAATGGCAGCAACTGGAATGTTGAAAGAAGCCGGCCTCACTGGGCTGAGCACAGCTATTCTCTACTTCCTTTCAAAAGGCACACAGAACTGGGTCTAGCTGCGAAGAAAGAATGTCCTCAGACCAAACTGAGCTCCTGGTTCCTCCGCCCCAGATCCTACTTCCTGTCCCCAGCTGTGTCTGCAGACTGAAAGCTTTGGAGGCAGGACATCCACCCTGGCTCTGAGCTGCAGACTGCAGGCACAGTGGGCCAGGAGGAAACAGGGCTCCAGACAGACAGTGGGGGTCAGCTGCAGCTCTGCTGTCCAGGGAGGGCTGCAGAGCCATTGACTTGACTTCCCCTCTGCTGCTGTGGCCCTGGCTTGTAACTGGGCCCAGCCTGAGCTGAGAAGCAGGACTGGCACTCCCTGGAGAGTAGTGAGTGCTCTGGTGCGGGGTTCATGCTGCAGCTTCTGGGTCCTTAACCAAGTCATTGAGCTTAGCTGAAGTTCCCGCCTATAGACTGGGCATGACTGAACCTCTGAGACACTAGGAAGGGAACAGGGATGTACTCTCTGACTATTTGTCCAGGACTGACTATGGTGCTGTTGTGACACTCACATGTCATGTGGGGAGCTTGCTGATGTAGGCTCTAGCTCAGGCCAAATGGACCCAGATCTGTATTTCTTTTTTTGTTTATTTGTTTTGTTTTGTTTTGTTTTTTGAGATAGGTTTCTCCATGTAGCCTTGGCTGTCCTGGAACTCACTCTGTAGACCAGGCTGGCCTCGAACTCACAGAGATCTGCCTGCCTCTGCCTCCCGAGTGTGCCACCGCTGCCCAGCTAGATCTGTATTTCTAATAAGCTCAGTTTCTAACTTGCAGTGGGCTGCGGCTGGTCCGTGTGCAGTGGTTTGAGTAGCAAAGGCAGTGTGTGACCCTTAGTGGGTGATGATCTGTCTCTGCACGGCCCGGCACTCACACGGGTACTGCACTGCTTCTGCTCAGCACTCCTGAATGGAGCCCTGCTGTGACTTCTCTGAGATGGAACCCAGAAACCAGCAGGGCCCAACAATGGACGCTTAGTTTCTGCATGCTTAGATGGCAGCCCTGTTGGGGCCTACTCTCTAAATCTGGGCTCCGCTCAACACATTCTTGGGGCCACCTTCCACTCACTGATTCAGAGTTGCTGGGTGAGGAAGTGGGAGGGGACAGGGAATTTGCATTTGTCAGTCAGCACTGCTCTTCCCCTTTGCACATCTCTGGGAATCACTCACTACCCTAGAGCTGTGTAAAGGGCAGAACCCTGGCTCCTCAAACTCAAGAGAACAGAAAAGCTTCCCCCAGTCAAAAAGACAGGATCTGGCACAGTCCTGTTGGCAAAGCCTGGAGCCCAGAGGTCTATTCCCTAGGCATGCTTCAGAGGTTTCCTCACAGCAAGAAGAGGGAAACTGAGGGACTGGGTGAATAAGTTCCAGAAGTTCTGCTGTGTGGAGGAGAGATGGTAAAAGACCATTTGATGAGCCAGGTTCACTTTCTGTCGTTCCCTGAAGAGAAGTGGCAGATGCTGAGTGCCCCATGCATTAGTTACTTTTCTCATTGCTTCATTAAAATACTAAGCCAAGACATCTCAGGAAAGGAAGAGTTTATTCTGGCTCATTGTTCAAGTCCATTATGTCAGGGAAGTCATGGCACCAAAAGCCTGAGGCAGCTGGTCACATGGTATCTATCCAAAGTCAGGAAGCAGAGAGAGACAGATGCTGGTGTCCCACTTCCTTTTTATTTAGTCTGTGACTCCAGCCCATGGAACGATGCCACCCACAGTTACAGTGGATCTCCCGCCTCAGCTAACCCAGTCTCCAAACTCTCACAGGCATGCCCAGAGGTCTGTCTCCTAGGTGATCCTAGATCCTGTCAACAGTAACCATCACACACTATATTTGGACAGAGAAAACAAAGGACTAGATGGTTGTTCATAGTTAATTTTCCTAGTGGGATTGGGGGCGGCTTCTGGTTCTTTTATTGTTAGTGGTGGTGGTTTCTGTTTTCCATAGAGAACATAATTTCATAGTAAGAGGAAAATGTGACATAATCGTGTTTGGTCCGGGGTCTCTGGAACACAGAAGATTCTCCCAGCATGGGACAAAAGGCCTCTTTGGCTAGTGGAAGATTGATTCATCTTCCAGGACTGTGGCACTCTGGCCAAGGTAACCGTGTCCTGTCCCCTCTCCTTCAGGTCCTGGTGCTCCTTGTTCATCACTTTGATCTATTTCTTGCTTCTCTCAGTTTGTTTCTCTGGTGAAGGTAAAGACACCTGTCTGCTACACAGGGCGAAGGTGTGGAGAGAGACAGCCAAAAATACCCTCACGCAGTACAGTTCATTTTCCATCAGAATGTATCACCCAGGTGCCCAAGCATAAACTCCAGAATCTAGGCTCATAGAGCAACATGCTAAGGAAGTAATGCTTGACTAAAGGAGACCTGAGTGGCATTTCTGACAGGCCAAAACCCACAGCCGTGTGTCCTTGGCCATGCCAGAGTACTTCCCTGGGCTACTGGTCCTTGTCTGTAGGTTGTGAGGATGGAGAGGTCTGAACTCTAATTCTGGCACTTGTAGCTCTGCTCTGCTCTGTAGTGAGTTGCTTGCCTTCCCATTCCTTTTCCACTGCCTGGTCTTTTGAGCACCTTTGGTTGCCAGAGAAGACCTCTCCTGTCTGTTCCAGCTGCCAGGTTTGTGTCTAAGTGGCTGCTGGCACATGGTCCCCTCGATAGACAAGGGCTTGATCAGGGCTGTCTGTCTCTGGTTTCTAGGTCTCCATGCCTGTGACCATAGGGATATGATGAGTGGTGGGAGACTGTGTAGGCCCACTGAGAGACCTAGGGTGCCTGAGTGAACCTGGCCCTGAGGTTGGCCTCCTGGATCTCGTGAGTGGGGTCTGCCCTGCCTTCTCTCTTTCTTTCATGGTCTGAGCTGCCTCATGAGTGCCCCAATGCCTGACTTTGTGTCTAAGACCTCACTTCCAGCAGCCCTGAGACTTAGTACTTCGAGCTACTATTTTCCATTGAGTGGCTCAGGTCGTGGTGTGTGTGTGTGTGTGTGTGTGTGTGTGTGTGTGTGTGTGCGTGCGTGAGCGCTCGTGCGCACACGTGCATGCATGCGCTTTGGCAAGGGGTGGAAGAAAGCCATTCATGACATTTGAGTAAACCCAGGAGATGTATATGGCAGCATGTCTCCAGTCTTCTTTCAACATAGTGGATGGGTTTCTGAATCTCTCCCACCACCGGCTTCCCTGGCCCGGAAGTGCAAGAGGCCCAGCTTTAGGAAGAAGCAAGAAAGGGGAAGCCCAGAAGGAGCTGAAGATCAAGCCCAGCTAGCAGGGGCTGGAGAAGCCTGAGTGAGAGCTTTCCCAGCTACCTATCACAGCCCACAGCCCATGGATGGGGTCTCTAATACCTGTCCAGGCCATAACCAGCAGGCATGTGATCCCGAGAAGGTGGAGAGCAGCCCCTGGGCCTCTGTGTCTTCTCCAGTATGCGTCCCCTAGTCCAGGAGCCCAGAAGAGCTGCTTTTTCATGTGGCCTAGAGACGGTGTGGGGAACTAATAGTAACGCTCAGCTCTGGGGCTTCCTGGCAGCAGTGGCAGGAGAGTGGGCCCCGTGCAAGGTGTATCCACCATTTGGTCCTGGGGTGGAAGAAGGGGAGGAAATATGAGCCTGACAGGCATCTTCCCTCTTGGATGCCTCTTCTGTCTCCTGACTGAGCACTGACCCCATTCTGAGGTCTCTTGCATTGTAACCTGGCACTGACTGGTCCACCTTGGGTTTCCTTGTCAATCTGACCAGAGAACTCCTAGAGGTTCGATTGGGGCATCTTCCGAGGTCCTGCAGAGAGTCACCAATGCTTCCTGGTCTGGGAGTTCCCAGGCCATAGCAGAAAGGAATAGAGGTGTGTGTGTGTGTGTGTGTGTGTGTGTGTGTGTGTGTGTGTGTGTGTGTGTGTGTGTGTGTGGTGGGGGAGAAGAGGGCATCCTGAAGCAGGATATTACAGCTGCAAAAAAGGCAGCAATCTCTTTTGCACTGTCAAGCAAGCGACAGGAGGTAGCCAGTGACCTCCAGCACCAACCGATCTGGTGGGTTTACAGGCCTGGTCATCTTTTCTGTTTCTTCCAGAACAGGATTTCTTGCTGGCTCTGCCTGGTTCCCTGCTGGCCTTGTTTTCTGCTAGGTCTTGGTCTTACCTCCTGGAAAGGGGATGGGGTGGACCTCTCTCTGGTCTGGGCCTTGGTCCTCCTTCCATCCCGGCTTGACCAAGAGGAGGCCCCTCAAGAATGAGTAGGGTGCCCACCCCATCGTCTTCTGGAGCCACACAGGTGGCAAAACCTGGAAAGCAGGGTACTCAGAGGTCAGGGTGCCTGGCACTGAGCAGGGGACTCCTCTCTGCTAATGTGCCAAGCCTGAGGGGTTAGAGGCTGTAAGAAGCAGCTGTGTGCCCGTGGCCTACCTTTCAGGATGTCTGCAGTGTGACTTTCTCCTGCTCCACCTGCCTGTCTCTTCTCAGGGAACAGGAATGGGGGTGAGGGAGCCCGGGTGTTCCTCTCACCCTCTGTGGGAGGGGCTGGATGTCCCACTCATAGGTGTCAGCGGAGGCTCTCCAGTGGTGGGTGCTAATGCTGGGACTTCCCTGGCTGACTCACCCTGGGCCTGACTGTGCCTCTGCTGAGGCAGGAGTTGTGAAGGTGTCTGGGTGGTGACAGCGACTCACACTCAGTCCCAAGATAGGGTGAGGGGGATAGAGTCAGTACAACATTCCAGGGATACCAGAGTCCACCTCCCCTACTTCCCAACAAGAGACAAGTAAGGCTCAGGTCTTGAGCTTGGCTGCTCCTGAAAATTCCTGGGCCAAAGGCCTTCCTGGCCCTGTCCTTGACAAGAGAGCAGGGAATAAGCAAGCCATTGACTCAGAGGCACTTTCCAGACACAGACAGGGCCACCAGACTGAGGACTGTGAGAGGCAGGAAGTAGGGTCAGCCCAGTGACCTAGCTGTGGCCAAGGACCCCTGGGAGAAAAGAGAACACTGTTGGCTCCCCACGCCCACCAAAAAGCACACAGGTCCTGTGTCCTCAGCAGGCAGGAGGACAGAGGTGTTGCAATCGCAGTGTGGGGAGGGGCGGGGGAGGACTGAGCAGACAGCACTGGAGTGCATGGCTTGCTAGCAGGCCTGTGGGGGCGGAGGCAGCAGTGCTGCGTGGGTTGAGCTGGGGGGTGGGTTGGAGGGATGTGCAGTTCTGGGTGACTAGCCCCAGATTCCCTGTCTTCCTGTTACCAGTGGGGGATGTTGTTGCCCCTGACTCTCTGGGTAGAGTAGCCGTGGGGATGGTTGCCTCTAGAAGTGAGAGTGGAGACCCTGGCATGATTTAGTCATGACACCCATTCATCCAGCCTTGTGAGAAATGTGGCAGTGTTGTTGGTGAGGTGCCAGAGCCAGCACCTCTGGCAAGCAGGGTACCTGAGTGTCTGTAACACATCTGGGCAGAAGGCTGCTGATTCCTTGTGGACAGGCACAGTGGTGAGGTGTCCCAGGCAGGAATGAGGCTGGCAAGCCTAGGCTTCACCAGATTGAAGTCTAGCCTGGTACTCAGCTTGGCCCACAACTGGGGAAGGGAGCACTAAGGCTAAGCCAGCTGTGACCTAAACAGACAACATACTTGGGTGACATGAGGGAGCATCAGGTTCCAGCTGGGACGGCTCTTCCCAGTGGGTGAGCATAGTCTCCTCCTTCTAAGGGCTTCTCTTCAAAGAAAATGTGTCAAGCTGTTTGTATGGAGGCAGGGTAGCCCCATGTGGTAAGTTAGGCATTGCTGAGGACAGGAAGGTGACACCAGTCCTATACCAGGTGGAGCAAAGTTGTAGGAACTTGGGGAGCTGGTGGGGTTCTAAGGTTTGCTCCCTTCCTGCTGCTGAGCGCATATGGCCTATGACAGGTCATTGTATCCTTGGTTTCAGTGGTGCACACTGTTAATCTCAACAATCCCGAGGAAGAGGCAGGCAGATCTCTGTGTATTTGAGGCCAGCCTGGTCTAAGGAAAGCCAGGGCTACACAAAGAAACCCTATCTTAAGGGGAAAAAAACTAGTCAAGGACCAGCTGGACAGTGGTAGCTCATGCCTTTAATCCCAGCACTTGGGAGGCAGAAACAGGTGGATCTCCGAGTTCAAGGCCAGTCAGGTCTACAAAGTGACTTCCAGGACAGCCAAGACTACTCAGAGAGACACTGTCTCGAAAAACAAACAAAGAAAAATAGCCAAGGACCCCAGAACCTTGTTTGGGTGGGTCCTAATTAGTCAAGCCCCACTACAGGGAGGAGCAGGGACTAGTCACCCTTTCTTGGACCCTGATTGCCCTTCTCCTATGAGAATGATGGGGTGAAATGAGGTGATGGCTAGAAGAGACTCAGACAAGCAACTATGCTTCCCGTTAACAGTAACCGATACTGTTGTCCTTATTATCCTTATGTTTAAGTTACCATTGTCATATTGTAGAATTGACTCTCCAAAGTCCGTAGCACCCTGGCCCCCATATGCTCAAGAATCAGGTCAGGCAGGTGCAGCTACAGAGTTTGGGTGGGTAGGACTGGCCCTAGCACCCCTCGGTGGCCTCTCAGGTCTTGGCTGAGCTGCCAGCTCCCATGTGCAGAGAGGCCACCCCACCCTCCCATGTTGGCTGGGAGACCTCAGAGCTAGGAGTGCGTGTTCTCCAAACATCTTGCTCACAGCAGATGGCAGCCACAACTGCCTTTCTCCCTGCAGTTCCGGTGCACCTCCCTTGCTCACCCCCTGTTAACTTTGGTTTCTGCTTTTGGAGACAGGGAGGCAGCCTTCATGTCCCCAGAGCTGCCTCTGATTGTGGGTGAAGCTTGATGCATGCAAGGTAGGCACTTTCTGAAGGAGCAGAAGCCTCGAACTCCCCAGCTCAGGGACACAGTCTCGCCCTGTTCCTGCTAGCTGACTTTGAATCTTCTTGGCCAAGTGTGCTGGCAGCGTGATCTGCGGAGCAAGGAGCTGGGCTGGGGCCTTGTTTGACATTTCTTGAGCAGCTGCTAGGCACCAGGCTCTGTGCTGGATGCCAAGGATATGGAGATGCAGGTCGTGCAGCCCTGCCCTGTGGCAGCCCCCAGCCTTCAGGGAGTGCAGGATGGAGGGCCATCACTTGTTCTACCTGAGGGGTTGGTGGGCCCCAACAGTGTCTTGGAGGGCTGTTTAGGCTAAACCTGGGAATCCTAAACAGCTCTGTAGACAGCAAGATTGGGGAGAGCATTGTGGGCTGAGAACAGGAGGCCTGAAGAGCCCTGCCTGCAGCACACCCAACTGAAGCACATGGAACAAAGGACAACCACGTTGCCTCTCCTGGACCCTGAGAATATAGCCTGTCCTCTGTTTGCATCTAGGTTGGGGTCAGCCTAAAGCCAAAGCGAGTGGCAGGAGTCACTCTCAGTTCTAGGTGTTCTGCCCTGCGTTTGAGGCCAGCAAGAGCAGGCCCTGACACTGGAGTCGATGTGGCCTATCCTTTCCCCCTGCCTGGCCCTATAGCCACAGGTCAGTCAGTGGTCAGGTGTTGATATGGTTTGCCCATGGGACCCAAGAACAGCTGGGTGAGCATGCTAGACCTCTGCAGCACTACTCCTCATTCTGAACCTGCTCCCAGGCCACCCACACCCACAGGCAGCTCCAGGCTGAGCATCCACACAGTGAGTAGCTTGTGTGTGCTGAACCCTGTGTCTGTTACTAGAGCTGTTAGGGTCAAAGCCTAAGCTCTGGCAGACCCAACAAGCTAGACTGACAATCTGTTCCCTGTTGGCCAGTTAGAGACAAGTAGTAGTGAAAAGAGAGAGCTCAACACAGCCATGCTGAGGGGAAGAAGATATGGATGGGTCCAATGACCCCTCCACATCTGTCTCCAGAGTCCTGGCAGGGGGCTTAGGTCTAAATAGAAGGCAAAGAGGTATGCTTAACTAAACAATCCTGGTCAGGGTGTGGCCCCACTCACCAGACTCTGCTTCAGTCTGGCCTGTAAGGTGGCGAGAATTATGTGAAATCCCTTCCTAGGAAGCAAGTTTCTCTTCAGGCAACAGGCTTCAGCCCTTCTCTTCCCCCAGCCTGAGATTCCTAGGGACATTTTTTAATTCTTTGGGGACTATTGTTTCTATAGCCTGATAGCCAAAGGGAGGGGCACAAGTATCTCTCTTTAGAGTATCTCTCCTGCCAGACACATGCCAAGGACTCCCACAAAGGCCTCATCCAATTAACTTTGAAGGTTGTGAATGGTGAGATTCACTGGCCCCAAGGCCCTAGGACTTGTCCAAAGTCCTTCAGCAGACTCCAAGCCCAGGTGAGCCTGCCCCTCTCCAGCACATCTCCTGTGGAGTTACTCACCCAGTCCCCTAGACAAGGCTTGAGGGGGATGTGTGGCGGGCCTAGGTGGGTGGCAGGCAACTGTCAGAGCCCAGTTTGGAGGCTTCGGGCCCTGCCCATTCTTCCTGTTGCTGCTCCCCCAGTTTCATAGTCAGGCCCTCTGAGGGAATGCAGAGCAGGGAGACTCTCCACATACCGCAGACCAAGTGTTGGGGCACTAGTGGTCATACAGGCAGGGCTGCCAGAACACAGTCCAGCAGGGCAGCGGTAGAGCAGAGGCTTTGGTATTTGCTTTTTCCTGCCCTACCTTTTGCTTTGCCTCTTGCACCTGTCTGACTGTTTGCCCAAGGATTTGCCCTTCTGGAAAATGGGCGGGACTGAAGGGGGAGGCAATGCTTCTTGGCACCCAGCTTTTCTGCAGATCCTGTACTGCACATGAATACGTACCTTGCTGTGCTCCCTGACACTCTCCCAGCCAGTGCATGGCCTCGCCCGCGCAGAGCATGTGACTTCATATTGCCCAGGCCTGGCATGCCTGGACAGCAGCAGCAGCAGCAACAGCTGGACTGTCAGCTAGGAGCAGGAGAGGCCCGCAGAGCCCTGTTCTGGGGCACTGGCCCCAGGATGCGGGGGTGAGGGGCAGCATCAATGGGACTTTTGTATGCCTGGGACAGAGGAACACATGGCCAGAGCAGACACATCTGCTCCTTTCTGTCCTGGAATGGCCAGGCTGCAGGCCTCTACCCTTCCTTCTAGCAGGAGAGCTCGTCTTGGTTCAAGCCATCCTATCCCTGACCTTCCCTTCACCCCTTTTAACCGAGTCTGCTTCAACAGCTTGAACTTGAACTTCTGCTGTGCTGCTCTGCATAGCACCTGCCCTGGCCTTCCAGAGCTCATCCACACTGCCTCCTGGAGACTGTGATCTGGATCCTCTGGGTCAAAGTCAGTAGGTTAATTAAATAGTAACTAGATCCACGGATGAGGAGCCCCCTTTCTCCTTTAGCTGGCAGCCCAAGGTGGGGCTTACATTACCTAGGCAAGCGGCCAGGTACCTCACTTCCTGTAGACTTGCCTATGGCCAGCCTTGTGGAATGGTTCCAGTCCTTGAAGATGGGATCTCTAAGCACCATCTTTGAGTTTCCATTCTGCTTTATGGGCACCTTTAATAAAGTCAATGCTATGACCCATAACCTCTGTGTCACTACGTGCCTGCCCATATGAGCTGTGAGGACAAGCAGGCTGTCACCAAGAGGCTGTGTTATGCTTCCATCGGTGAGCTCTGTAAACCGAGGGTGGCTGGGAGAACACATTTGCTCAGACTTGGTAACAACCTTTCCAAGTGGGCACAGCTACAAGAGGTTGCCTGGTCCCTTTCAGACTGGCCTGAAGGGTGTGAAGACAGTCTGACATAACAGAGATAACCTTTGACTTCTAGCTGTGGAGATCCCAGGGACCCAAGACTAAGCGGGATGGGTGAGAAAGACAGACCTGTTTTTCTCTGTTCTGGGATGGGCACGGAGATGGGGGAAGTTGTTTCAGCTTGCTGCTTGGTAACAAACTTAGTTGTCTAGCCTTGGGGAGTGGGCACCACAGAGCCCACCCTCACCCTGGGGGATTTCCTCCCATGCCTTGTCCTCCAGTGGTGGAAGGAACGCCCACTGTTTACTGTTCATACACACCTCGGTGCCAGGTGCTGGCGTCACTTCTCCCCATGAGCAACCCTGTGGTTTGTAACTCTCAGCATTCTCATTTACAGGTAAGGAAACTGGTCTGAATTGTTCTTCTGCCAGAATTATTGTTATTCCTCTTCTCCAGGCATCCGAGCTCAAAGAGGCTGCACCTTCACCTGTTAAGTGACCAGGCCCAGTTGCAGCTCACACTGACTGACCCCAAGTCCCGTGGTTTCCCACTCTGCCCCTGCAGTCAACAGAAGCACTAATAAAATAAACACATTAATACATAATTAATCCTACCTCTATCCCTCCGGCCTTTTCTCTCTGAGCACTTTCCAGACGTGATCTCATGCATCCTGTCAAAGCCCCAGAAGAGCTATGAGGAGGCTCTGTGCAGATGATGGGGAAAGGCTGGCACCCGTGGACCACAGGGACTTTAAACCAGCCATTGCCCAACCTTAGCTCCAGCACCAACCTACTGCCCTTCCTCAGCTCTCGGCCTCCGAGTAAGAAGTATTAGGGTGAAAACTCCTCCGTACCCTTCCTTGGTCTCTTTGGGATTGTGCCTGGGTAAACAGGAGGAAGAGACTCTAAGGTGAACCCTACCACCCTATGGCAGGGTGTGTCTTGTGAGCATTCACAGGAGTGATGGGGTGTGGCCATTGTAATACTTCCTTGTGGCAAACTGGCAGAGGGCAAGTGAGAGTTCCAAGGAAGGAGACAGAATGAGTAAGCATCCGAGAGCAGGCTCAATGCCCTGGATCTTCCTCCTTTCTCCAGTGCCCAAGGATGCAGAGGCTGCTTCTGTCTTTATCATATGAAGAGGAGCCCAGGCTTAGAGCCTTGTCTGGGTCACATAGACTCACAGGTGTTCGGTTTGAGTAGACTTGTTCTGGCAAACTTCAAAAATGGAAGCCCCTATAGTCAGACCGTAGTAGTAATTCCTGTCCCACTTGTAATACCCAGAGCATGGCAGGATCCCTGATAAAGGCAACAGCAGGCTTGAGCTCCTTATCTCCCCCAGGGGCTTTATTTCTGAGGCAGAGGCTGAAGACAGTAGAAACTGAGGGTGCCAGGGAAGGGAACCCAGGCAGGCCACCATTGCATCCTTGGTCAGGCAAGGCACAGGCTCTGGGAGAAGGTTTGATCCCTCTGGCCTTGGGACTCTTCTCTAAGTTCCTCCTTCCTTCCCCCTAGATACCTATCAGAGGTGGCACATGTCACACTGCCTAGGAAGACCTGGAGCTCAGATCTGCTGGGGCGTTCCTTAGGCATCAGACCTCCCTTCACTACAAGTCGACCATTCAACCTTTCTTTTCTGCTGTAAACTTTCCTGGTAGGATGAAGATACCATGTTACTCCTGCCCTGCCCAAAGCACACTCACTGGGTGCCAGCGTGAGCTCCTGCAGAGTCCCTGCTACGGGGCAGTTGTGCTTGGGCTGTGGCATCCCGGCAAAGAAAGCACTTGAGCCTAGCCATCAGAACCCTGGGTTCTGGGCTCAGCTCTGCACTGGCTCCCATACATCATCTGTCTCTTGTGCTTTGTTCAGAAATGGTTCTTCCTTCAGGCAGCAGTTTTGGTGAGCTCCTTCCACCTGCCAGGCTGTTTCTCTGGGTGCCGAGGACATAGTGTCGGGAGGAGAACAGGAGAGGCCTTTGCACTTGGGGAATCAGCCACACAGAAAAGCGGAGAGTATTAGGTGGTACGCAGTACAGATGAGATGGGGGGGATGCCCGAGACAGGGCAGGCAGACCCAAGGAGAGGGTCCCTGGGCTAGGAACGGAGTGACACCAGAGAGGCAGGAATTCAGAGATGGCTTGGGGAATAAGCAACGAAGAACAGAGTAAAGGCTCATGTTCAGGAAAGAGACAAGACAGCATGAAAGGAAGTGAATGTAGGCAGAGACCAGCTCCTACAGGACCAGCAGCCCAGTGTGAGAGGAAGAACACTTTGTAGTGTGATGGGAATTGTGAAATGAGTCGAAACAGGAGGGATATAGAGGAAGAAAGGATGTATAGATGAGTGCTTAAGTTAGCTGATGGATAGATTATTATGCAGGTGGGTAGGTAGATAGAAGCTTAAGTGAATGGTTGGATGGGTGGATGGATGGATGGATGGGTAGATGGATGGATGGGTGGGTGGATGGATGGATGCTTGAGTGTGTATATGTATGCATATATGCTGGTGAATACATGGCTGGATGGGTAGATGGATGGATGGGTGGGTGGGTGGATGGATGCTTGAGTGTGTATATGTATGCATATATGCTGGTGAATACATGGCTGGATGGATAAATGGATGGATGTTTTAGTGAGTGGATAATTGGATCGATGGATTGGTGGATGGCTGGCTTCAGCTATATCTGCCCTCCACTCCCCTCCCTGTTTGCATTAGCTGCATGCTCTTTTGAGTTAAGCTTCCCTGTATGGTTATTATCATGGTCAGGGCTGGGTGACAAGAGTGAGGACTTGACTATTCAGGGGAAATGCCTCAAACTCTGAACATACTTTGGGAACAGAAACAAGTGACCACTCCCAAGTGGTACCCGTCGTGGGCATGTTCCAGCATACTTGTGCACAGGTCATTTAAATCAGGACTAAGTTGAACTAGAACTCTTTGGAAATATGGTACTTTTGGGTGGGGCTATGTAACTCCAAACCTGCGATTTAAAGGCATCCCTGCAGGACCTGCTGTCCACTGCCCAGCCTGGCGTCCTGCCTATCACTGTTTGTATGCTGACTCTCAACCTTGACCACACATATTCTTTCACCTCACGTCTGCCTCGGCAGAAGTCCCACAAGGCCCTGCCATGCTGTCTGCCCCTCAGCCTCCTCTCCGCCCCTGCCCTGCTAACCTGGTCTTGGCCCCACCTCTGTTTCCTCACATGTAGCCTGTGTAGAGGTGTGTGCTCTGGGCTTGTCCGTCCTACCCTCTCCTGTGGTCTCTTTGCCTTGCTTGACCCAATTCCAGCTCCGTGTTCTCTGGGCGGCCACACTCAGGTCTGTATGACCTCTCTGTCTCACCATGTGTGAAGATTAGCATGGATTCTCTTTTTCCCTCTGAACTGTAGGTGCCATGAAATCTGACCTCCATATCCGTGACTCCGTCTCAGCTTTTCTTTTTTCCCACCCCGTAGGTCCTTGGTGTGTGGGGGCACTCTGATTGTCCAGTGGGTAGAGGGTGGCTACAGGAAGGAACTGCTTGGCCAGGTCACACCTGTGTTCACACAGTCCTGGGCCCTCCTCAGTCAGCTTGGAAGTCTCCTTGTCTTCTCTTGAGGCCTGTCCTGTCCCACGCTAGGAAACCTGGAACCAAACCCCAGCACTGTGAGGATTGGCGTCCCCACTCTTCCGTGTCTGAGGACCACCTTCTTCCTTGTGCTCCTGGTCAGTCAGCTCTGGGTGTCTGAGAGCAAAGGCCGGCCTCAGAGGCAGGCTGCCAGGTAGTGGGAGGAAGCTACCACCTGTCTAAACAATGGCTAAGCGCGCCAAAGGTCCCTGACAAAGTGGAGTATGTCCCAAAGAGGCTCCCAGGGTGATGACATGTTTGGAATCCAGTTTGAACCAAAACCCACACAGAGACTGTGAGGCCGAAAAGGTAAAGAAGACGGCTTAGAATCCAATGGCTTTGGAGCTTTCTACTCTAAGTGGGGGCTCCAGAGAGAGCCCAAGGCCAGAGGTGGGTAGTGGTACAGATGGCAGCAGGTCTCAGGTGTCTGGTGTTCTTGGGCACTGTCTCTTTGGTATCTCCTTAGTATCTAGCCTGCGAAGAGGGTTGGAGTCAAAGTACTGTCCTTTGAGTTTGGGGTTTCCCGTGGCTGACTGAGGCATTGCTCTGGCCTTGGCTGCTGCTCTGGTCTCACCCCTGCTTCAGGTAGGAAGCTGACTCTCCAGCTGCAAAGATGTTCTGGTCAGACAGGCTTCATCTGAAATGAGCAGGGAGGGGGCCCCAGGAGGCCTCCAAGCCCACGATTCTAGGTCATCTCCTGCAGCATCCAGAGAATGGAGTGGTATTTATAGCCACCAGCGGCCGCTGAGGCTGGAGAAGCCAACACGAGCTATGACGCAGGCCCGGACCCCCCCCCCCCCGCCATCCCCCCCTCCAGAGTCTTCCTGGGATGTGCAGAAAAGACTGTGTCTGCCGAGGAAGCAGGCTTTATCACATTGCCGCTCTGAGCCCTGGGGGAGATGAGGTACTAGTCTCGGCCTGGCAGGAGCCTCAGCCACTCTGGTCTCACCATGACCTTGTCTGGCCTGAAGACA